CTGCCATCCTGTGGTGATTTTCTTGAATTACACCAGCATTTTGTGACGTTCTTGAGTTAGCTTTAGCTGGCACTAACTCCTCGAAGCATCTGAATCCGGGCCTTGCTTATTCTTTGAGAGAAACCAAGAACTCTGCAACCGAGAGACACTCACCAGGATATCTGTACCATATTGCTCCAAGGTTGCAAATGAGACAGTGGGCACCGGAATGGTGCTCTACAGCGGCACGCCCTCTAGAGCCTCCGATGATGAGAAGCTGGGACCATCTGGCATGGCAGTGGCCATAGCATCCTCCAGTTTGAAACACATGGGCACTTTCCTGAAGAGCCCCCTTGATGGACAGAAGAATTGCAGGCTTATTAGCCAAACTACCTTTTCGAGTTTCTGAAAGGATCATAGCAGAAGGTGCTATGTGGCACCCATCTCCTGAGGTGGATACATCCCGTTGGATGCTTGGAAATGAGAACTCATGATGCCTGCTTCTGGTTGGGAAGTTTACTAGAAAACTTGAGAGTGATATAAGAGCATCTTTAAGGGGTGCTGTAGACAGAAGTTTCTGTGAAGAACATCCCCATGCTGTTGGAGGTTGGAGAACTTCTTAAGAAGTACTGGTCTAAGTGTGGTGGATTTCCCACATGCCACCCTCCCTCAGCATGCTCCAGGGTTGGGAAACAGGGAAAGGAGGTGGTCGCTCTGTGCTCAGTTGCCTGGATGTCAGAGTGGAAGGCAGTCAGGAGAAGAAGAGTCTAGGCTTCCCGAGACAGCTTTTGGAAGGGAAGCTTGAGGGGGCTGAGGAGCAATTCACACACATTTCAGAGGCTGCTGCAGATTTCATTTTTCATCTGTAAGCCGGACTGGTGGAATGGGACAGCCTCTAAAGATGCTAGTGTAGCAGGTGTGTGTGTGTGCTGTCAGAAGGGGCGCACTGACATTCAGTCTGAGGGTTTCTCTTTCTTCTCTTAGTGGCATCTGCTTTATGGTCTAGTTGGGAACAGAAATCACCTTGAAGGGAAATGTTCTCTATTCTTTAAAGAATGCTTGAGTAGCTCCCTTGGTTATGTAAATGTCAGCTGAGTAGGCCTCCTGGTCCCCAGAGAAGGACATAACAGAACACTGTACTTTGAGTTGGTGAGGAAAGGTTACCTCTCATCTTAGGGGAGGAATGGGTGGTGTAGAACCATGGGGAGGGCTGTTGAACATAATTGCTTTGTCAAGAGTAATGAACATTAATTTAATTCTCCTTAGATTTGCTTTTCCCCAGACCCCAGTCTTACCCTGCCCAAACACTCCCATTTCTTGGCCTGCTTCACTGGCTGCTTTTGGATCATCCTCTTTGTAAGAAGAGACCTTATTGTTAGATAAGCCTGCTTCTCAGACAGTGTTAATGATTTTCCCCTAGGACTGGGTGTTTCCAAAGTATACTTTTCCACAAGGTAAAATCAGACTCTTACACAAATGTAAAAGAGGCATGTCAGAAAGGCTATGTGACTTATTAACTCATGGAGAGGTCAACAAGAATAGGAAAATCAGGACAAAGGAAACTCTGAAGGCTACATACAGGTGCTCGGGGTTGGTAGTGAATTTGCTAATGGATGCAGAAAGATACCTTCCGAAGGAACAATAACCAGGATCATGATTTCTATCAGTTATTTCTATGGGCAGAAAACTCATTCACAGTGCTTTGTCTCAGTTACTTTTCTGCTGCTGTGAAGAGACACCATAACCAAGCCAGCTTATAAAAGAAAATGTTTAAAGTGGTTCCTAGTTCCAGAGGATTAGAGTCCATGATCATCATTGAGGAGCGCAGGGCGGCAGACAAGCAGGCACAGAACTGGAGCAGTCCTGAAGGGCTGACATCCCAGTCTGAAAGTTGGAGGTAGACAGAGAGTTAACTCGGAATGGCCTGGGCTTTTGGAAGCTCAAAGCCCACCCCCCCAGTGACACACCCCCCTCCAACAAGGCCACACCTCCTAATCCTCCTCAAGCAGTTCCACCAACTGGGGACCAAGTGTTCAAATATATGAGCCTATGGGGACCATTCTCATTCGAAACAGCACAGTGCTATACGGGCAACAGCCATTTCTGCCATCTTTCTGAGGATGAATTTCTACAAAATGGCCTCACTGATATGAAGACAATGGATAGAACACAGCTGTCTAAATCAGGAAACTTCTGGAAGGTCCTCTAGACAGTACCTAGCACTCTCATCTCTCTCCTCAAAGGTTGGTTTTGAAGCTTTACAACATGCTGTGTATCTCAGCCATTGTTCTGTTATTGCTGTGAAGAGATACCATGGCCAAGGCAACGCTTTTAATTGGGGGCTTGCTTGTAATTTCAGGGACTTAGTCTATTATCACCAAGACAGGAAGCACAGAAGCAATCATGCCACTAGGGCATAGCTGAGAACTTCATCATCACCCTTAGGCAGAGAGAGGCTTGGGCTTTTGAAACCTCAAAGCCCACTCCCAGTGACAAACTTTTTTCAACAAGGCTACTCCTGATCCTCTAATCTTTTCAAAGAGTACCACTCCCTAGTTGCTAAGCATTCAGATGTATGGACCTGTGGGGGTGGGGTGGCATTCTTATTCTTGTAGCCACATCATAATGCAAAAATGCAATCAGTCTAACTTCAAAAGTCCCCACAGTCTATCACAGTCTCAACACTGCTTAAAAGTCCAAAGTTTAAAATCTCTTCTGAGACTCAAGACAACCGTTTAACTGTAACCCCTATAAAATCAAAATCAAAAAGCAGATCACACACTTCCAACAAACAATTGTTGTAATTTTAAAAAGCAGTGCCTGAGAGAAAGATGCCATGTGACAGAGGAGTTTTGTTCTGTTTTGTTTTTGTTTGTTTTTTTTTTTAAATTGGGGGAAAGTGAATGGGAAAGTGGGGGGAGGGGAGAAGGGAGAGCAGCCTCTGGGGACAGGAACAGCAGAAGAGGTAGAGAGAGACAGAGAAGCAGAGAGAGAGAAAGAGGAAGAGGAAGACGAAGAGGGAGAGAGAAAGAGGAAGAGAAATATGGGTGGTGGGCAGGGCCCCTTTAAGAGGGAATATAGTGAATGTGCAAAGGTGGTGTACTTAGTGACTGCAGCTGAGGATGTATCCTGTAAGAACCCCACGGAGAGGCCAGTACAGATGCCTGAATACTAACAACAATGGTATAGACATGATATGTCAAAATGGAGGAGAGGGAGCACAGTGAGGAAATACTAGACCAAAGCAAGACAGAAACTCAATGGGGAAAACTCCAAATTCTGCATCTCCATGTCTGATGTCAAAGGGCCTTCAGATCTCCAACTCTTTCAGGTTTGTTGACAACAAAACTTCTCTCCCTTGGGCTGGTTCTACGCCTGGTCTGTGGCTCCCCTTGCAGTTATTCCATGACTCTGGCATCTCCAACATCTTTCCATTTCTAACACAACCCAGGCTTTTCACAGCTTCAAGCAATGGCCTCTCTGGGCCTCCACGAATGGACACACAGGTGTGTACCTGGCCTGAGGCTTTCCTTAGCCGCAGAGGGTTTTCCCACAAACCCTTTTTTGTATCCTTAACTCTAAAGTTAGTACTGCATGGCTGCAGCTCCAAATTCAGCTGCTTGATAGGGCTGGAACTTGACCCCCTCCTTCTGTTAATTTTTGCATCGGCTTTCTGTTTTTGATGGTTCCCTTGACTACTTAAGCTTTTCTTTCATTACTTTCCACAAGTTAGAAGTTTAGCTGGGGGTTTTGCCCTGAGGTCACTGCTTCCTGTATTCTGTTTAGCATCAGGCTTTTTAGAAAAACAAATTACTTAATTGTGAACTTGCTTATAGTTTCAGAGGGTTAATCCATTACTATCATGGTAGGAAGCATGGTGGCACTCTTGATGCTAAAGCAGTAGCTGAGAGATACATACAGGGGGAGAGAGAGAGAGAGAGAGAGAGAGAGAGAGAGAGAGAGAGAGAGAGAGAGAGAGAAAGAGAGAGACAGACAGAGAGAGACAGACAGAGAGAGACAGACAGAGAGAGACAGACAGACAGAGACAGACAGAGAGAGACAGACAGAGACAGAGAGAGAAAGCACCTAAGCGTGGCATGGGCCTGTGAAACCCTGAAGCCCACCTTCAGTGACACTTCTGCTACTCCCTGGTGACTAAGCATCCAAATGTATGAGCCTATAGGGGCCACTCTTACTGAAACCACCATGCTAGGCAAGTGATGTAGTTCTACCACTGAGCTACAGCCCTTGTTCCACAGCAGCTCCCCCCCCCGCCGCCACACATACACATAGGTTGATAAGAGCTTTCTGGGTCAGTCTTGAGTTTTCTAACCCCCTAGTATACTTCCTGGGCAGTCTTATCTAAGTTATATCTTGAACTAACTCTAATAGCTGATTCCTAGTTTTTATCTTCCTTCTGATTCTCTCAGCTCCAAACTCATTCATGAACTTGATTACTTCTCTTGATGCTTTTGAGTCTAGAAAGAGGTTTAGGTCTTTTAGCTTATTAAAAGAGTAGAGGTTTGAACTCAACATTATCCAACTTCAGAACTGGGGCCAAAAGCTTGTAACATTAACAGTTCCAGAGATGCCAAAAGTAAGGGCCAAACCAATGAGGCAGGCCTCCCCTATGGAAGAATGTTGGGTATAGCAAGCCTCTCCTATGGAGGAGGGCTGGAATCTTGTATTAGTCATGGTTCTCTAGAATAGGTTAACTTACAGAATGAATATCTCTCTCTCTCTCTCCACACACACACACACACACACACACACACACACACACTAGAATGACTTACAGGCTGTGGTCCAGAAATTCCAAGAGTGACTACTTATGAACAGACAGTTCATTAATCTGATAGTTGCCCAGTCCATGTGCCTGGATGTTTCTGCTGTTTTCAGTATATACTGGAATTCCCAAGAAGTAGGCTGTAATGTCAGTAAAGGAATGGACTTGCTAGTGAGGGTAAGAGCAAGCAGGAAAAGTGAGTGCAACTTCCTTCTTCCATCTCTTTATATAGGATTCCAGCAGCCGGTGTGGCCCATTTTCAGGTAGGTCTTCTCACCTCAAAGATCTGGAGAAAAGGAGTGCCTTCCCACCTCCAAGACACAGAGTAGAAGAGGATCTTTCCACTTCAAATGATTAAGCAAAAGTCCCCCACAGGTATGCTCAGACATTTTTGTTTTTAGTTTTAGTTAATCCCATATGTAGTCAACTTGACAACCAAGAATAGCCATCACAAACATTCTGGGGAATGAGAATGTGACTGCTCCCTGATGGCTAAGCAGATGTAGGTGTTAACCATTTCTACTGTTAACTTTTAGAGACTGGGGGCAGGATTTGTAGGTTCTGCCCTTGATCTAGAACCTTCTCTACATGGAGTGAGGCTTCCCACCCAGGCTTGGGTGACCATGGAACATGTCTTGGGATGGTCTCTGACGGCTTCCCACAACTGCTGCTTCTATCCCACTGACTGGTGTCTGTGGTCCTCTCCATCTAAGGCATCTGCCCTGGGTCCTCTTAGCTCCTCCCCTCTGTGTACCTACCTCCTTACAGAAGGAGAAACATCTCAAGTCCCAGCAGCTCTTGACTGTTTTCCCAAGTGCAGCACCAAATACTTCTTCCTGTGTGGACGCTTCTCTTTCTGATTTTCCAGCTTGAATCCAGTGTCCAGTCAGTGAGCAGATGAAAACAAGGGCCAGAGAGGTGAGGACAGCCAGCAGTTGCAACCCTTGCTCAATGGCAAGATTAGTTTCTGTCTGGAGGCAAGTCTGTGGGAAATGTTCACACGTAGAAGAAGCCCCAATGCCAGAAACTCTTACCATTTGTCAGTTCTTCATTCCGTTTTCCTGCCATGGAGGCACCATTTATGCAGTCCCAGTGTGGGCAAGGATCATCTCAGTGGGGACCTGTTTACTTTATTGGGAGGGCAAGTGGAGGTCAGGCTGCTTGGCCTACACATTGACAGGGGCACCAGGGGAAATGCATTCTCTGTCTGGAGTTCCCTCCATTGTAAGTGTTGGCACACTGGCTGATAAATCTTAGCGAAAAGAGAATAGCAAGCGAGGGGGTAGAAGTATAGAATTATAAATAGATTAGACTAGAGAATGGAATTAGGGTCAAATCAGAGAGAATTTCTCCCCTTCCTGTTTGCTGGAGGTACCAACTATACCACAGTAAGGTGGTCTGCAGACAGCATCTGTGTGAAATTCTGCAGACCCGCACCTGTATGCGTTGAATTGGTGGCAATGTGTCCTGCAGCTTCCTTGGATCAACTAACTACAAGCCCCATTGTAGGTCCTGAAAGCCAGTGGGGGAGGGGGTAGCTCACAACTGCCTTTGCCCAGGGGATCCTTCTGTCCTGCCCAGAGATGCACCCCTTCCCTGGTGTATGTGTGTGTGCAAGGTGCTAACCCTGGTTACACAGTCAGATCGCTGTTTCTGAGCACATTACTACCGTGGAAGATTGAAGGATTTTCAGCAACTGGGGAGCCAGGGGATTCTACACACATTTCCTTTGAACTTCTGCCACTCTGAAGGAAAAGAGAGAAAAAGAAATCTCTGCAAATAGAAAAGCTTTTAGAAGTTTCTTTCCCTTTATTTTTGACCAGAACTGCCTAAAACCATTCTCTGGCTCCCATTGCTGCTTGGTGTAGTGCTTCAAATATGAGAATGCCTCCGCAAATGTCTGTAGTTCCCTGGAATTAAAAAAAGACCGCTCTTTTGTTAGGGTCTCTCTAGGAATGTGGTGAACTTATTTCCTGCAGGCATTCCTCCTCCTTCTCTAGGCTGACCTTCCTCCGCTTGTATTTGGTGAGAAAGAACCTTTAAAACATTGAGTGGAGGGAATTGGAAAGATGACTCAGCAGTTATGAGCACTGGCTGCTCTTGCAGAGGACCCAGGTTCAGTTCCCAGAACCCACATGGCAGCTCATAATTATCTGTAACTCTAGTTCCAGGGAATCAGACACCCTCTTCTGATCTCTATAGGCAACCAGGCACATACATGGTACACACACATACATACATGCAAAATACTCGTATACATAAAGTAAAAATAAAGCTTTTAAATTAAAAAAGGAAATGGTAAGTGGAGATACAGTTCATATAGAAAACTCATGTTTTTCAGTGTTCATTAATTGGTTTTTAGTATAGTCTCAAAGTTGTGCAATTACCACTAGGATCTAATTTCAGAGTGTTTTTGCCACCCCTACAATAAACTCTGTACCCATTAGCAGTCATTCCTATTCCTGTCTTTCCCAAACTACTGTGCTACTTTCTGTCTCTATAACTTTGTCTAGTCTACGTTTTAATGTAAGTGAACCAATAACAGTGGGAGACACTTTGTGTCTGGCTTCTTTCACTTAGCATCATGTTCTCTAGGTTCTATGCCTGTATCAGCATGAACAGTATTTTATTGTGTTATAAACCACCTTTCATTAATTCATTCATTACTTGATGGTAATTTTGGCTTTTAGGAAAGTATTGCTATGAACATTCAGGCACACATTTTGTATGGACATCCGTTTTCAATTCTCTTGGTTATTTACCTAGAAGTGTATTTCATGGGTTGTATGCTAACCCTCCATTTAACATTTCCAGGAATTGCCAGCCTATTTAAAAAGAAAACCAAAACAATTGAGTTAATTTACACTCCCATCAGCAATGCATGCCAATTCCAATTTCCCTACATCCTGTCCAACACTTGCTATTGGCCATATATTTTTATTATAACTATGCTGGTAGATGTGGATATATATCTGGTTTCCTGGATCTATAGGCTCTGCATTTGCAGTCAGTCAACCGTGGATCAAAGAATATGGTGCAAGCACTCAGACCCAGGGACTGCTGCATATGGGCAAACACCATGACACTAAATCACACCCCTCGTTAAAAATGCACCTGTGGGCTGGGGATGTAACTTAGTGATAGGATTCTTGCTTAATACATACAAAGCTCTATGTATAGTCCTCTTCACCAAACACATACATATGCTTGCACACTTGCATGTCTGCGCAAACACACTCTCAGGCACACACACACACACACACACGCGCGCGCGTGCGAGAGAGCGCTCGCGTGTGCATGCACACAATCACACACACCGTGAAGTATATACAGATTTTTCTTGTCTCGTTCCATTAATAAAACAATATAACAACTACACAGCATTTATAAGGTATTAGGTGTTGGAAAGAAGCTGAGAGGTTGTCTGTAAATACCGCACCATTTTATTGAAATGACTTGAGTAGCCAAGAATTTTTGAAAGGATCACTGAATCAGACTCCTACTGATACAAGGAAGATTATATGTCCATTTCTTATGTAAGATGATATGTTCTTACATTAATACGATATAGCTTTTCAAGACTCTTTGTAAGTAAACACTGTGACCTTATTACAAATATTACCTAGTATATTCTAGAGCATTTTGTCTTGCACAGATAAAACTCTATCTGCTAAATATTGACTCCTTATGTCCTCTTTAGAGTCTGGTTTTCTATTTTGTGATTGTATTGGTGTGGCCAGCTCAGACACTCCCGAAGGAGTGGAATCATGTGGCCTTTGTCCTGGGGTGACAGGCTTACTTGACTTTAATACCATCTTTAATATTCATTTGTATCATGCCACATGGAAGGACTTTCTTCTTATACCTGAGTGAATTTTCTCCCTCCCTTCCTCCTTCCCTTTCCTACTGGTGGCTCTGGGATTTGAACTCAAGTCCTTGTGCTTGCAAGCACAGGTTTTAATAACTGAACTATCTCCCCAGCCCTAGGTTTTTGCCTTGGATTTCTTCTTTGATCTATGAGTTATTCAAGTACCTGCTGCTTTAGTTTACATATACTTCTCATTTCTACAGATTTCCTTTTGTCCTTAAATTCTAGTTTCATTTCCTTGTGCTTGGGAAATACACATGGTAAGATGTCACTCTTCTTAAGTATAGGACTTGTTTTGTGGCCTAACATGATCTATTCTGGGCAGCTTCTGTGTACTTGAGAAGAATGCTGTTGTTGGATGGAAAGTGTATTTGCTTGTTGAGTAGGTGTGTAGTGTTGTTTAGTGTATTAATCTTCTGTCTGAGTGTTCCATGTATTTTTGAGAGTGGGGTATTGAATTACTTTTATTAGAAGTCTGTTTCTTTCAGATCTGTCAATGTTTGCTTCATATATATATATATATATATATATATATATATATATATATATGATCACCCTGATGTTTGGTGCACACATATTCATAGTTGCTATATGTTCTTCAGGATGGATTTTTATATCATTTTTATAAGATTTTTTTTTACTTAAAGTCTATTTTGTCTGATTTAAGTCTGGCTACCCCTATTTATTATTTGGATATAATCTCTTTTTCCATATTTTTATTTTCAGGCTATATGTATTTTACAATCTATAGTGAGATGACTCAGCAGGTAAAGGTGCTTGCCACCTTTTGACCTGTGTTTGACCTCTGTGACCCATATGGAGGGATGCTAGCTATCATATTTTTGGTTGGTAGTTCATTCTTTCAGTGCTTTGATTATATTATCAAACTCCATTCTTGCCTACGAAGTTCCTGTTGAGAAATGCACCAATAATCTTAAAGGAGTTTTCTTACATATGAGAAATTCCTTTTTCTTTCTGCTTTCAATTTTTTTCCTTTGACTTTTGACAATTGGATTTTGTGTCTCTATGTAGATTTCTTTGCATTTATCTCATTAGGGTGTTGGGTTTCTTGATTTGGATGTCAGTTTTCTTCCTTGATTTAGGAGGTTTTCTGCCATTGTTCTTTTGTAAGCTTCACGCTGTTATGGCTTCTCCTTCTGAGATTCCCAAACATGTGCTGGTGTGCTAGATGGTTCCCCATAAGCCACACTGGTTTTCTTCACTCTTCTCGTTTTGATCTTTTTGTTCCTCTGATGACTTATCTTCAAGTTTCCCACACTTGAACACACCTATTGTTGAACCTCTTCTTTGAAAACTTCATATCTCTTGTACTTTTCTTCTCCAAACAGTTTTGTTTTTATTTTCATCTCTGTTGACATTTTTGTTCTGTTTGCTCATTCCTCTTGACCTCACAAAGAGTGTCAGGACAGCAATTTTCAGTTCTTAGTCAGGTAATTGACTTCTATTCCTTTCTTTGGTATTGCTGTCTGTCTGTTTTGTTAGTGTA